GCTTCAAAGTCCACTTAGGGAAATATTATCTAGGGAGGATGCAAGGCTCAGGTATGTGGAAGACTTTCAGGAGCCGAGCAGATCTCCGATATGTGCTGAATCCGGATGGCTTTTGTGATGCATGCTGAGTTCGGAGGAAGTTCCTGATACCTGCTGAGACTGGAGGGCAGATAAAGGCCCTAGGGAGTGTTTAGAATTCCAAAAGTTTTGTAAGTATTGCTGACACTAAAAGGTTTCTGGTTAAAGATTTTCCTGGAGGCTACTAGGACTCTGGCCTCAGATTCACACTAGGTGAAGGGAGGGCCAAGAGAAAGAAGATGACTAACAGTCATAATATGACATCCATCAAGGTGAAAGTGATCTATGCAAAAATGTTGAGGAATTGAAGTGTTATTCAACCATGAAGAACATGTCATAGGTTTTAATTTTCATAAGTTTTGTATGAAAAGAGATTGAACTCTGATATAGAAGATCAAATTTGTATGGAATTGACATAATCAATTTGCATTTTGGAGAAATTCATATAACCGATTGGCATTTTGTTTCAGGAAGAATTCACTGATGACCCAGCCGTTGGCTTTCTTGATGCTGGTATCATCTTTGATATCCATTCACCAAAGAAGGTGCCACATTTTGGTGGTTTAGGCTTGTCTTCACCTGTGGGAATGCATGCATGGGTAACCATCAGCCAAGTGAAGGTAAGTATTCACAAAATGTAGAATGCTGAAAGAATTTGGGATGCGGTAATGCCTTTAGGCTCTGTCACTGGAGACTTCCAGGTTGCTCTGATGCTGAGTAGAGCTTTTAGAGTGAGACAGACCAGGAAGAAAAGCCTGGAAATCTACTTCCAAAACTCAGCCAATGAAAACCTATGAAGCACAATAGTCTGATCCCTTTGCACATGGGGTCACCATGAGTTGGGGGCTAACAAGAACAGAATGCCTTTAGAATACCACTGGAAATACTTAGCTTCAGGTTATTTTCTTTTACTTAAAAAGCTCACTCACTTCCATCGAGTTTTATCTCTGACTCATAGCGACCCCTCCTTGGGTTTCTGAGGTAGTATCACTATGGAAGTAGATTTCCCAATCTTCCTTCTAAGGAGTGGCTAGTGGGTTTGAACCACCAGCCTTCTGCTTAACAGTCAAATGCCTTAGGTACTACACCACCAGAGCATACATTAATCACAATAGTGAATTCACATATGGAATATAATTGAAAGCTGGGAAGCCTACAAAGTCCAAGGTAATTTTAAATTTCATTAGACAAAGATTGTCATTAAGGCTGGAGATACACTTGCATTGCTAACTGTGCATTATCTCAATGAGATTAGATAGGAAAGAGAAAAGTAAAGTTGAAGAAGCAGGGCTTTTAGAGTCAAACTGCCAGGTCCATTTGCCAACCACTTGCTCAAGCCACTTAGTAATTTCCTTAATTAACTCCTTTAAGTTCCACCCCCTTTCTGTAAAGTATGGTGAGTAATGTTTGTTTTTCAAAGTTACTGTGAAGTTTAAGTGAAATCAAATAAAGCAAGCACTTACCATGTTGCCTCACATATAATGTTGTTGTTGTTATGTGTCATTGAGTTGGATTCTACTCATAGCGACCCCTCCTTGGGTTTCCAAAGCAATATCACTACAGAGGTAGATTGCCCAACCTTCCTTCTGAGGAGTGGTGTTCAATAAAAGATTGCTTTTGTGATTTTGGTTGCTGTTTTGGGTATATGCTAATGCATATACTAATATATCATTTACAGAAATTATAAAATAGCGTATTTTCCTTATGTAAGTTAACTTTTAGAAAAATCAGTCACTCTGACTTTATCGATTCACTGCATTTTGGGATATATGTTAAAGAACCATTATGATACTAACCACAGGAACTTCCAAGTTTGTAGAGCAGGCAAAGCAGACAAAAGTACAGTCAACTGAGAAAATGAAAGACAAAAAACAAGGAGCTCTGAGAGAAAAGTAAAATTGTATATATACTTTTTCTCTTGGGGTGGACATGGATGGATTGACCCAGAAAAATCTCTAGATCTCCTGTTTATTTCATCTCAAGACAGTTCATCAAGAATACCCTTGGGGAGAATGCAACCCTAACATCAAGCTGCAGGATTTTAGCAGCTACAGCACCTCTGGTTGCTTGAAGGAATGCAAAGCACAGCACATAGAAAAACAATGTGGATGTTTGCCTTTTCTACTTCCTGGTAAATAAAGAATGACTTCTCTCTTACTTAACTATATTTATTTTTATTTTAAGCATAGAAGATCAACATATCTTTACATCATATTTCCTTCTTACAAAATTGTAGGCTGAACTATATTTCATTTGCCAAATACAACTTCAACTGACAGATTATATCAGAGATTTCTGGAAAAGAAAATCCTATTAGTGGCAGGTTCCTAATTCTTACTTTAAAAGTTTAAAATTGAATGTTTAAGTTATGCACAGGAGAGATAGGAGAGGGGGGTTGGTTACTGGGCAGGGAGGAGATGAGACTGGGTTAGGGTTGGAAAAAAAATGGAATATTCTCAAAAGTCTAAAACTGTTCATCAAGGTTTTCTCTGTTTGAAAGAAAAATTGAATCATGTATCTAAGTCTCACAGACACTGAATATTTCACTGTTGGGAATTTTTTTCTCTGTGGCTAGAAAAGAAACTTCAGGTCCCCTTTGAATACAATTGCAAATGTTTCCAGAGTCATGGATATATGAGGCAAGCCCTGAATGAGACAGTAGAGTAGGACGGAGAATGGCTGGCATCTGATCCAGCCTGCTAATCTTAGCTTCACAATTATCATCTACCTGACCTTAGTCAAGTGGCTTATACTTTCTGTACATCCAGTAAATGGGGATAATAATAGTATCCTGCCTTATGTAGTTATTGTTAGTAACTTTGAATCAGCTTCACTTTTGGCTACCTTGTGCATAACAGAATGAAACATTGCTTCATTTTGCATCATCTTCGTGATCCTTGGTATGTTTGAGTTCACTGTTGTGGCCCCTATTTTATAGGATTGTTATAAAAATGAAAAGTATGTAAACTAGTTTAAAGTGCCTGGCACACAGTATATTCTCTATAAGTGTTAGATAGTTTTTGTGCAGATTTCCTTCTGTCCCTTCCCCTAGAATATCCATAAAGAAGTGTGGAGGGGATTAAGGGCCAAACCAATTTGGGTCTATGAGTTCATCATCATGACCGCTCATTCATGCATTTGCACATATGAACTTTCACACACAGTACACTAATGCTGCCTCTGCCCCTGTAACAACAGTATCAAAATATCTGCCTAGTAAATTATTTCTCAGGGATTTTTAAGATTGTTCATTTCTCTCTTTCTAGAAGGTTGGGCAATCTACTTCCGTAGTGATATCACCTTGGAAACCCAAGGAGGGGCTGCTATGAGTCAGGGCTAACTCGACAGCACATAACAACAACAACAGAATCCAGATTATTGGTATCTCACTAAAACTCACTGTAGTCGAGTCAGATCCAACTCATAGCGACCCCTCCTTGGGTTTCTGAGGCAGAATCACTATGGAAGTAGAGTGCCCAACTTTCCTTCCGAGGAGTGGCTGGTGGATTTGAACCAACAGCCTTCTGGTTAGCAGTCAAATGCCTTAGGCACACCTCTAAAACCTGCCATTTTATTAAACTGCTAAGATAGAACACAAAGCATGACATTTATACAAATGTTAGGGTTTATCAAATACTTTCAAGAATTCTACCTTGTTTGGTTAGATCCTTCTTTGTTCCTCTGAAACTATATAAATGAGGAAATAGAGGCTTGTAGATATTAAATGAATTACTTAAAATACTTCCACTAACAATTTGTAGATGAAATTCCAAAAGTTAGCTTTGAAACATGGGTTGTTTATATAATTTTATTTTTCTTCATACCAGCAAAAAAATTGCAAGAAGGCACACTTTGGAGAAGTGAGGGTTTTAGCAATTAATGTTGGCAGTAATTTTTTTTTTTTTTCATTTTTACTTCTTTTAATTCCTTTGCAAAGAGCATTTTCCTATAGTGAACCAAGCTTATCCACAAATCTGTAAATGGAAAAATCTACTTTGGTTCTTTTCTGGATCAATGACAGTTTTGGTCATCTAGTGCCACTCTAACAAGAATATACCACAAATAGATGTCTTTAATAAAAAGGATTTATTCTATCACAGTTTAGAAGGCTACAAGTCCAAGTTCAAAGTGCCTCTAGGGGCTGGGTGAAGGCTCCTTGATGTCAGGCTTCAGCTCTGCCTCTTGCTCCCGGCCCACTGGAGCTGAAGACTTTTCTTAACTCAGGCAGCTGCTGGCTGCTGAGGGTGACAAATCCAAGGTCAACAGGTAAAAGGTTACAAGATTGTTAAGCAACATGGCAGGTCACTAGTTCAACTCCAGAAATAGTCCCAAGATGACCAGAGAACATGGCTGACCACTGATGACTTGGCCAAAAGCAGGATCCAGACATGCCCTGGAGCTAGAGACCTTCCTCAAAGCTTCTTCTCATATACTGGAAGCAGATCACATCCCTAAGGCAGCTACTCAACTGCTTACAGTAGATTCCACCATGGAGTTGATTGCCATTCTCATCATGGGGAACAACTACATGCAGCTACCCAGATGCTCAAAACTAGGCGCAGCCAAGTTGACACATAATCTTGACTATAACATGGACTAAGTATTAATGCTAAATAACTAATCTCAGAGCCCACATGGGTTATAATGAATCAATAAATAGGAAGGAGCAACACTATAGTTTGGAAACAGCCCAGGAATTAAACCACAGCTTGAACTGGTTTAAACTAGTTCAGTCAGGGCTGATACAGCAAAATTGGAACAGACTCAAGTTTATAAAGTCTGAGTGTATCGGAATGATAACCAGAACAAAGGAAATCATGGTTCAATGCCCTGGAATGGGAAACTAGGAAACTTATGTTGGAGACTAGATTATTGCTAGGACTGTGGAGAACTACACACATTCAAAGCAGTGTCATTGGCCACTATCTTTGAGCAAGACACCATTATTTCAGACTCTGCCTGTCAAGAGATTTGATTGCTATGCAATGTACACACTGCCCTTGTTTTCCAAAAGGGAAATTAATTTTCTAGCAGGGTGTTGATCAATAATTTTTTCTGTTCCAATTATCATTCTGGTACACCCCCATTTTACAAATTTGGGTTCATTCCAATTTCATTTAATTGGACATAACTTAATTAGGAAGAACTGGTTTAAAGCCCTGTATTATATCAATTCTGATGAGTATTGATTTTACTATTCGCCTCAAGATCCACAGCAGGTGATTAATAAATATTGGTACTTACCTGCCCCCATTCTATTCCTGGAAAGGCAACTGGGCACGTGCATATCAATGGATAGAAGGAACAGCATAGAAGGTGCACAGAATGTGTTGAAGGTCTCCTAAACATGTGATCGGATGTATATTTACATTGAGCGCTAACTTATTATCCTACTTTTCTTACAAAAGAACTAATTTATGTATGTAGGTAGGTAGGTAGGCAGATTGGTAGGTAAGTAAGTAGATAAGAAAAGTATTTTTGTCAATAGGATTCTTACTTTATACAATGTAAAGTCTCTCTATATTATATTCATTGTTTTTAAGGAAATATGGTAGAATGTGACCTACATAAGTTTTACAACTGTGTTTCTCCTGTACTTGGTAAGTGGCTTATTTTTTTTAATTTACTTTTTAATTTTCAATATTTCTATAAAAATCCTTCAAATAATAAGACATTAAATAATATTATGGGTGCCCTGAATTGGAACAGAATATAGAATATAAGTCAATTAATGTTCCTAAATTCAAGAAGATTAGCTTAAATAGTCACAGACAGTTAAAAAAAGAAAGAAAAAAAAAACCTTGAATTCAAGATACACCATGACAAATAATAGTAAAAGAGTTTTTAATTTCTAAATCTGCAGAAATGTTTCTGTGTTTTTTTTAATATCTTAAAATAAGAATAGCTTTCTTGTTTTCTTATTAAATAAATAAAACCTGTTCTTTGTGAATAGTTCAATTTGCAGAATAAAAAGAAATTATGTAAAAATCATTAAATAACACATTACTCTAATAATTACTCTCATTATCTGAGTGACCATCCTTTCACTGATTTATTTCATTATAAATACATTACATTAAAATATATCATACATTTACACAAATATAATCATAACTATGCATACCATATTTACAGGGAACAATTTCCTCTTAAGGTGAAACTTTTAAAAAAGTGTTTACATACCATTGACCCCTCAACTACTGTTAATCCTCTAATACATTGTATCATAGCTTTCTCCACATATATCATTTTGTAATGCTAAGGATATCAATCTTTATGCATTCCATTTCATTTTTGATGACTTGCAATTTTCCTAAATCCTTACCTCAGACATTCCATATTTCAATTAATGGTTATTTGCAGCTGTTTCTTCTTATTTTGAGTTGTTCCACATCAGCAACTGAAGAGCCTAAAAGCTGCACTCCAGCCACATCATTAAGTTCAATTCTACTTCCAGGAGGCAGCTCTTCCCCAGTCATATTTTGAGTGACTTCTAACATGAGATGCTCATCTTCTGGCACTGTATCAGACAATATTCCACTGATATTTGTTTTCAGTGGCTAGCTTTTCAGAAGATCACCATGTCCTCCTTCTTAGTCTGTCTTAATATGGAAGCTCTGCTGAAACCTGGCTCTCATTGGTGACCCTGCAACTATTTAAAATATCAGGGCCATAGACTCAGATAAAAATATGGTCTACTATTTTGAATCAGAGAAATACATGCTCTACTATGCCAGGAATGAAAAACTGAAGAGGAATGGAATTGTATTCATCATCAAAAGGGATATTTCAAGATTTATCCTGAAGTACAACCTTGTCACTGATACCAAAATATACACATGCCTTCAAGGAAAACAGGTTAATACAATTACTATTCAAATTCATACATCAACCACTTATGCCAAAGATTAAGAATTGAAATTTTTACCAACTTCTGCAATCTTAAATTGATCAAACTTGCAATCATGGTGCATTGATAATTACTGGTAATTGGAAAGCAAATGCTGGCAATAAGGAACAAGGGTTGGTAGCTGGAAAATATGGCCTTGGTGATAGAAATTATGCCAGAGATCTCATGATAGAATTTTTCAAGACTAAAGGCTTAGTCATTGGAAATACCTTTTTTCAATATCATAAATTGCAACTCTACATGTGGACTGCATTGGATGCAATACACAGGAATCAAGTTGACTACGTTTTTGGAAAGAGACAATAGGAAACTTAATATCATCAGCCAGAACAAGTCCAGGAGCCAAAAATTAAAACCAATCCACAAGAGCCAAAGTATTACCTTGTGTTTATCCCACCTGAATTTAGGGACCATCCCAAGAATAGATTTAACACATTGAACATAAATGACAGAAGACCAGATGATTTGAGGGAAGATATCAAGCACATCATACTTGAAGAAATAAAAAAAAAAAAAGTCATTAAAAAGACAAGAAAGAAAGAAAAGACCAAACTGGGTATCAAAAGAAACTCTGAAACTTGTTCTTCAATATAGAGCAGCTAAAGTGAAAGGAAGAAATGATGAAGTGCTGAGCAGAAGAAATCAAAAGGCTGCTTAAGAAGACAAAGTGAAGTATTATAATGAAATGTGCAAAGACTTAGAGTTAGAAAACCAAAAGGGAAGGACATATTTGATATTTCTCAATCTGAAAGATCTGAAGAAAATTCAAGCCTGCAGTTCTGGTGTTCTGGTATTGAAAGATTATATGGGCAAGATGTTGAACAACAAAGAAAACATCAAAGGGATATGGAAGGAATACACAGTTACTGTACCAAAAAGAATTGGTTGACATTTAACCATTTCAGAAGGTTTCATAAGATCAAGAACTGATGGTATTGAAGGAAGAAGTCCAAGATGCACTGAGGGCATAGGTGAAATATGTTTCAACAAATTTAGGTAATATTGGAAATGCTCACTCAACTAACTACACCAAGAAATTTGGAAAAGAGGTACCTTGCTAACCAACTGTAAGAGATCTACATTTACACCCATTCCAAAGAAACATTATCCAACAGAACATGGAAATTTTTAAATAATATTATTAATATCACACAAAAGTAAAATTTTAGTGAAGATAATTCAAAAACAGTTGCAACAGTACATTTACAAGGAACTGCCAGAAATTCAAGCCAGATTCAGAAGAGGACGTGGAACAAAGAATATCATTGCTAATGTCAGATGGATCTTGGTTGAAAGAAGAGAATAGCAGAAATGTTTACATGTGTTTAATGGACTATGCAAAGACATTCAACTCTATGGATCATAACAAAATATGGAAAACACTGCAGAAAATGGAAATTCCAAAATACTTAATTTTGCTCAAAAGCAACCAAGAGCCACTCACTAGAACAGAACAAAGGGATAACACACAGTTTAAATTAAGGAAAGGTGTGTGTCAAGGTCGTACCATTTCACCATAATTATTCAGTCTATGTGCTGAGCAAATAGTCTTAGAAGCTGGATGATTTGAAGAAATATATGGCTTGAGGATTGGGGGAAGACTCATTGACAACCTCTGATATGCAGATGACACAACCTTGCTTGCAGAAAGTGAAGAAGGTTTCAAGCATTTACTGATTAACATCAAAGACAAGAGACTCCAGCATATATTACACTTCAATGTGATGAAAACAAAAATCCTTACAACTGGACCAATAAGAAGCATTATTATAAGTGGAGAAAAGATTAAAGTTGTCAAGGATTTCATTTTACGTGGATCCACAATCAGTGCCCATGAAAGCAACAGTCAGTAAATCAAATGACATTTTGCTTTGGACAAATCTGCTGCAAAAGTCCTCTTTAAAGTGTAAAAGAAATTAAGATGTCACTTTGAGGACTATGTTGTTGTTGTTGTTATGTGCCATCGAGTCGGCCCCGACTCATAGCGACCCCTCCTTGGGTTTCCGAGGCAGTATCACTAGGGAAGTAGGATTGCCCAACCTTCCTTCCAAGGAGTGGCTGGTGGGTTTGAACCGCCAGCCTTCTGGTTAGCAGTCAAGTGCTTTAGCCACTATGCTACCAGAGCTCCTTTGAGGACTATGGTGTGCCTGATTCAAGCCATTGTATTTTCAATCACCTAATTAGCATGCAAATGCTACATAGTAAATAAAGAAAACTTAAAAAAATTGATGCATCTGGATTATGGTGTTGATGAAAAATATTGAATACATGACGAATTGCAATAAGAATGGACAAACCTGTGATGGAAGAAATATGGCCAGAATGCTTTTTGGAATTGAGGTTTGAGACACTTTGTCTTACACACTTTGTACATGCTATCAGGAGGGACCAGTCCCTAGAGAAGTATATCATACTTGGTAAATTAGAAGGTCAGTTAAAAAGACTTTCAGTGAGATGGATTGAAACAGTAGCTGCAAAAATGTGCTCAAACATAGCGACAAAGATGAGGATGGTGCAAGACCAGACAGCATTTTGTTCTGTTGCACATAGGGTTGCTGAGAATCAGAACTGATTTGATGAGACCTAACAACATACTTTTATATTTTATTACTTTTTTTTCCTTTTATTTTTTTTTTAAAGGAATTTCCAAAAAAAAAATGGAAATATCTCCAAGACAACAGTTACTGATACATCGCATTCTTTTTAATGACTGTAAGGTATTTCTGCTGTAGGTGTATTTTTATCAGTGAGCCTTGAGTTAGAATGGATCTGTTCCTTTTTATAAGTCACAAGCTGAATTTAAATAAGTCATATTTCTGACCAATGAAGTTGAAGTTACGTTGCCAAATATATTCTGATTTTCTGTCTTGTTGAGGTTTAGAGGGGAAGCTTGGGGGAAAGATAATTATGCAGGCTGTTCTTTAAGGGATTCTTATAAGAAAATGAGGTAATGTGTGTTTGTACGGAAGTTTTTTGGTTATTATCAACAGTTTTAAAAACTGTTGGATCATAGTGAAAGTCATGCTCTAAAGGAACATCAAAGTCAAAATCCAGTAAATAAGGTCAAAAAAAAAAAAAAATTATTGCCATTGACTCAATTCTGACTCGTAGCAGCCCCCGTTGGGTTTCCAAGGCTATAAATCTTTATGGAAGCAGACTGGCCCATCTTCTTTCCACAGAGGGGCTGGTGGATTTGAACCACCAATCTTTTGGTTAGCATCCAAATGTCTTAACCATTACACCACCAGGGCTCTTTTAAACCAAACCAAATCAAACTCACTGCCATGGAGTCAGCTCTTACTCATAGCGACCCATCCTTCAGTTTTCAAGACAGTATCACTATGGATGTAGATTGCTGAACTTTCCTTCTGAGGAGTGGCTGGTGAGTTTGAACTGCCAGCCTTCTGGTTAGCAGTCACATGCCTTAGGCATGGCCACCAGAGTGCCTTTAAGCAAGTTCAAAGGTAATACTTTCAGGGGATTTTGGAGAACAAAGGGTGTGTTTACAAGAAGAAAGAGTTTCATTAACGAAACCAAAGCAACAAGAATCTGAATATCTACCAAGAGTCAAGAGCCAGGAGCATTGAGGAATGTTACCTGACAATGATCTGAATGAAAGCTGAAGACCAGTGCCATCTCCTACTGGGGTTATTTTCCAATACACATTTACTTGGATAACCAGGCTGTACTAAAGTCACCAGGACAAGACAGAAAATGGAGAACCTCAGAAGTTGATTTAACAGTTACAGAGCCCACAAAAATAAGAGTCATTAAATATTTGATCACCTTTTTTTACACCAGTGTATGTTGAAACAAGTCTAAATATATATATAGTTAAAACTTGAGTCATTGGGTTTCAAGATTATGTTTGAAAGTTCGCCTCAAAGTCACAAAATATCCTGTAAACAACTTTCCATTTTTCTGTGTCCAAATGTCTGATATTTCATGGAATTACACCTAGAGTCCTCCTGGAAAGTTTTTATTTTTAACAAAGATCTGAATCCAGTGTCTCAATAAATTCAAGGGTAACAGATCCTACGTTTTATAATATGCTTTGTAACAGTATTTCTTAAGGGGTAATAGAACTTAATAACTCCTTTTTAAATAAAAAGTGAAATTATATGCTTTGAAAGTCCTCTGTCATCCCCACTGTGATATATTTATATTCCCTACATATCCTATTCTGACTTTCATTTCAGACTATATTGAAGCAAAAGGCTTATGTACAATGGGAACACATAATTCTACCTGCCCTGTTGCTTGTGAAGAAACAGAATACCCTGCTACCATCACTTATTCCACTTTTCCAAGTCATAAAGCTTTGAAATATCTTTCAAAGAAGTTGAATCAAAGCCAAGAGTATATCAGGTACTCTTATTAGTCTTATCAATTAACATAATTAGCATTAATGTTTCCTTTACTCAAAAGTAAAATTATGATCAGTCAATAGATTGATGAATTAATAATAAAAGCATAACATATTAGAATTGGACAATATCATGTCTTTTAATACCCTGATTTAAATCTATGGAAAGTAAATGACACTTTCTTGGGTAACTTGCTCATGATTACACTTTTTATTGCCTCAACTGGGGAAAATATCAATGCTGACCAATATTAAGTAATGATTCAAATTATGAAAATCCATTATTTTTCTATTATATAGTTTGAGCCACCTAATAATTATTTAAGGTTGATAAAGCAAAAATTATTTTCCTCATTCTATAGGTGAGGAAACTAAAATACATTATATTTAAAGTGACTATCCTATGAAGGGGTTCAGTGGCACAGGAAGACTTATGCCCAACAACTTTGGCTCTGATTTTCATATGTTTTCCATAGAGACACATAGTTCTGATTCTCTAGGTTGACTATGAAATTTGTTCTTTCTGCCATATCTTACTGCTCTTAGAAACTATAAATGACACTTCATAAAAAACTACTTTTTTAAAAATCAGATAGCAACCTTAACATTTCCCTCTCTCTTTCTCCCATTTATATCTCTAAGCCTAAGATGTGAAACTTCAATATAGTACATTGGCATTTGCCTTATATCTAATATGATAAAAATGTATTAATTAACTTAAAATTGATTTAAGCCATCTACTTAACTTTGGAAATATATTTCAAATAATTTTTTAGTGCGCTACTTAAAAAGCTTTGAAATCTGTTCAAATCACAGGAAAAAAAAATAAAATTAATGCAATTTAAAAAATTCTCTAGAATTCTAGTAAATTGCTAGAAAATACAGTGATCTCCTCAAATCAGAAAGAACAAGTATTTTCATCAGGACAGGGATGATGAGGCATGATTTCAAACACTTAGGTTAAAAGAAGAAAATCTGGGAAATTTGAAATTATATCTTTGCACTTACGTCTAGCACAATCATTTATTTGGATGCCATTTTAATATGGAAAAATTATTTACTTGCAGTATTATTCTTCTTATGTTTAAATATGTGTGAGAAGAGCACTTTGTGTGACTTTTGGCTTATAGTTATCTCCTGAGAGTTGTAGTTATTTAAATGTAGAGAATGGTGGCATAGATCTTGAGTTTTGGAGACATATCGGTAAATCAGAAAAGAAATCTATGCATAAAGCAAGCTAATCCTCGAAAACACTTTTTTCCCCCTTATGCTGAATTATTATAAATAAGTGTCTGATTAATTTCATCAAATGATTTACATATAGGGCCATTATGAGGAGAACTAAAGTGAGTAGCTGAACAAAGATGGTTGGACTCAAGGATTGCCTAAGTCCTAGAGAGAACTATAGCATAAAATTTACAAATATAATTATGAAACTCATTTGTGTACAGATAGAAAATCAGGTCAGAAATCAAAGAGCAATAGTAAATCAGAAACCACAAATTTTGTCAGACGACCTGAAAACTTATCAGTAGAGTGATTTGAAGTAAAACAACTCCTAATTTTTTCATGAAGCTGGTTATGTGTTTCTTATGAAAACAACCACAAAGCCAGACCAGCCCAGGGCCTCATGCGGAAGATGCTAAACTCCATTTAAAAAATGATACAAAGATTAGTTTGACCGAGGCAGGCAGTGTGGAGGTGAATATAAAGGTAAATTGTGGCTGAATTTAGGCCAATTTCATTAGTTTAAAAATTACTTTTTGTAATTGTTCTGTTTTAATTTTTAGAGCAAAATTTGTATAAAATTGTTTGTGTTGTGCAAAATCAATACATTTCTTTTCATTCAGTGCTCATGTTCAAGAATGTGGAATAACCTCTTAATTGTTTTCTACATGCAACAGGCACTATTTTCTTTTATCTTTTTACCATTATTAAAATCTAGATTTAATTTTAATTGTGCTTCTCACAATTAATATTCTTGGATTTAAATTCTGAATAATTTCTCACTATTGCACACAGGTTCAATAAGATCCACATTACTGACATTGACTGAGAGAAGCTGAGTACTTATCACCATATTTTTGTGGGGAAGTATTTATCTTCTCTCAAAACCACAGATAGCTCATGCTTGATAATGGTTATAATTCTGTGCTTGAGAAATTAAACACTACCAATTAAACATTACATACAAGTTAAGAGTACAAAGGGATTAAAAAAAAAGATTGTAATATTACTAAAATTTCTAGACTTCCAAGGCAACTTTACTGTTACCTTCACTTTGATAACTGTTTTATTATTTGTAAATATTACTATCCCTCCTAATTACCTACTTAAGAAAAGTACATTCTCTCATTGCCTAGAGTTAAACCAATAGAAATTAAGTAAACACATTAATGATATTTTTTGAATTAAACATAGTTGACAACATTGATTTCTAAAACCATAAACAGTAAGAAGAGTGATTTACACCATGTTTCTTAGATATATTAAAGAACAGTACATAATTCCAGGAAACATTGTTTGTTAGTAGAGTCCATTTTCAATAGGAATTAATACTGCCTTATGAAAAATAAGTGGTTTGGTTTTCACATTAGCTTATAAGACAAGTTAATATTGATTTATTCAGTCATTGGATTTGTCTTTGAATTTTTCCCTATTCATCCATTTTAGAAATAAATTATTAGCTCCTAGTTGTCAAAATGCAGGAAGTATTCTATGCATTAGGATTGCCTCAGTGTACAAAAGGCAAGATTCTGCCTTCACTATGTTTATTTTCATTTAGGTGGGTATGGATAATAAATCCATGAAGTCAGACAGTGCTATGGAGGTAAAGGATTAGAAAAGGGGCTAGGGGGAGCCATAGTAGGAGTAGATTGTTCTCTGGGCTGTGGGTTTTGATCAGATAAGACAACTTATTTGTTTTTGGTATTATTCCTCTTCAGACTCTGGTGGCATTCGACTTGATGGCAGTGAGTTTTGTTTTGGTTTGGTTATTATTCCTCTTATGTTTAAATATGCATGAGAATAGCACTTTTGTAACTTTGGGCTTATAAAGATCTCCTCAGAGCCATAATCATTTAAATATAGAGAATGGTGGCATAGATATTGATTCTTAGAGACACATTGGTAAATAAGGAGGAGCTCCGGTGGCATAGTGCCTAAGGCATTTGACTGCTAACCAGAAGGTTGCCAGTTCAAATCTGCCAGCCACTCCTTGGAAGGAAGGTTAGGCGATCTACTTCCATAGAGATACATTTTTGTTGTTTTTTGGTATTTATAAGATTGTGAGTTAAGATTGTGAGGATGGGACAGGCCAGGATAGTGTTTTGTTCTGTTGTACACAGGAATGCTATGAGTTGGAGCTGACTGGACAGCACCTAACAAGACAATGTAAGAAGGAAACAGTTGAGTAATGGCTTCTTGAAATCAGTTCTTCTTGAACTTTTTGGTTTCAGAATCCAGTAACACTCTTACTGAGGAGCCTAATGAGCTTTCTTTTGGTAGCTATAAATATTTATCACATTGTATTAGAAATTTAAACTGTAAAATGTGTATTTATTAATTTAAAACAATAATAAGTCCACCATTTATTAACTTAAATAAAAGATTTTTACAAATAACTATTTTCAGAAAGCAAAATTTTAGGAAGAGTAGTAAAATTGTTTTAGATTTTTGCAAATCTCCTTAATGTCTGGCTAAACAGAAGAGAGATATATTTTCATTTTGGCTTCTGCATTAAATCTGTTGGTTTAGGTTATTTTGATTGAAGAATATGAAGAATAGCCTTACTTAGGTATGTAGTTTAAAAAAGGAGGCATGTTTTAATACCCTTGTTAGATAATTGAAGAATTTTTTTTTTTTTGATACCACACTAAAACTCAATAAGTGGTAGTTTCTTAAATGTCAGTTGCAATATGTGTGCTGTGGTTGCTCCAGACACTTTTAAGTTAGAATTAACTTTATGGCAACCGATGCCGATGCTGATAAAGGAGATACAAGAGCTAGCTTTGGCATTATGTGAGAGAAGAACATTCCAGAAGGAAAGAAATACAAATACAGGGAAAAGCCCTGAGCCAAGACTGTGTTTGTATATTAAAGGAACAAAATGGTTGCTGGTATGACCAGAGCAGAGTGGGAAATGGCCAAGAGTAGCAGGAGATGAGTGGACAGAAGTCATAATGAGGAGGTAGGAAGGCAGACAGAGATCTTATAGCATCATGCAGGACTTTTATTTAAATTGTAAAGTTTCTGTAGAGTTTCCAGTAGAAGATTGACATGATTTGGCAAATTGAGAAGGTTTACTTTGTTATTATGTGAAGAATAGAAGATGTGTGTTTTTTGGAATCGGTTGCATTCAAGTTAGCAGCAGAGGGAACTGTTGCAAAAATCCAGGTAAGAGACAATGGAGACTCTGTCAAGGATGATAGCAATGAAGAGGATGAGAAGTGATAAGATTCTGCATATATTTTGAAGGTAGAGCAAATAAGATTTTTTGATAGATTAGACATGAAATTTTACATTATGAAAGGGGAAATAGCAAGAATTTCACTTGGGATATGTTAAATTTGAAATACTTATACATCTAAGTAAAATTATCAAGAGATACGGGGATGGTCAAGGTAGAGATGTGAGTTGGAGATAGAGAGAACAAGGGCCTCCAAGACCTCATGAAGAGCTACATTTTAAAGTAATACTTAAGTCATTTTGGTTATACAAAGATTTCTAGAAGACACTAAGAGAACAGAGTATCTGACTTAATATATTAATGACATAAAGTAAGTTGTTGAACATCCAATATATGTTAATTCTGTGCTGATTCCTTACATATTTTATTTAGTGCCTCTTCACCACAACTCTGAGAATTCAACTCTAAAATCCTGACTTCAGATGAGGAAACCAATATTCAGGAAAACAATGTGATTTCTCTATGGACACATTAAGAAAGGACAGAGTGAGAATATGAATTAAAATTAGATACATATTTAAATATGTATAAATAAATACTTGAATAGATATTTACATTTAATATTTTTTCCTCTTTCTTGCTGTATTAGTAAGAGTTACATATATATAACACACACATACAAACACATACACACACACATTTGTAATTGGCCATTATACATATAAACAAAATACCCCAAACCAAACTCATTGCCATTGAGTTGATTCTGACTCATAATGACTTCAACTGGGTTTCTGAGACTAAATATTTGCTGAAGTAGATAGCCCCATCTTCCTTCTACAGAGCAGCTGGTGGGTTTGAATTGTTGACCTTCTGCTTATCACCCAAATGCCTTATCCACTACACTACCAGAGCTTGCTTGCCCACTCTTTCTCTCTCTCCTCTCTCTCTCCCTCTCCACACTTGGTTATTTTATAAATATGTATGTGTGTGTAATTGGCTATTATATATATATATATATATATATATATATAAAATACTTGGTAATTTAAAATTTATAATTGGTTATTATGGAGAGAAGGATATATATATAGATATGTATAGATATAGATATGTACACACAAAATTGGTTATGCTTCTCTAGGGAACCCTGACTAATATAGCAAGAAACTGGAAAATTAATAAATATAAATATCTATTCAGCATATTAAAGTAGTTACAAATATTTTATTACAAATATGTATGAAAAAATGACATAAAGATAGAGAGAGACAGATAAAGAAGTACATCATGCAATAGACAGGGCTGGTAAGTCCAAAATCTGAAGTCAGGTGCAAACTCCTGACAGTTTTGTGTCCAAAATCAGTAAGCTAGGTAGTTCTACAATCGATGCCAATGGAAGCAGCAGTCAGGACATTAGACGACGTGTAGCATTGGGAAAGTCAACTGCGAAGGAACTGTTTCAAGTGCTAAGGAGCAAGGATATCTCATTGAGGACTAAGGTGCGCCTGACACAAGCCATGATATTTCCAATTGCCTGGTATGCATGTGAGAGCTGGACAATGAATAAGGAAGACCGAAGAAGAGTTGATGCTTTTGAGTTGTGGTGCTGGCGAAGAATGCTGAAAGTACCGTGGACTGCTAAAAGAACTAACAGATCTGTCCTGGAGGAAGTGCAGCCAGAATGCTCCTTGGAAGCAAGAATGACCAGACTTCGTCTCACCTGTTTTGGTCATGTTGTAAGAAGGGACCATTCCCTGGAGAAGGATGTCATGCTTGGTAGGGTGGAGGGTCGACGAAAGAGGGGGAGGCCTTCAATGAGATGGATTGATATGGTGGCTGCGATGATGGGCTCAAGTATAGCAGGGATTGTGGGGCTGGTGCGGGATCAGGCAGTGTTTCGTTCTGCTGTGCATGGGGTCGCTATGAGTCGGAAACGACTCAACAGCACTTAACAACAACAACAACAACAAGGTAGTGAGAAGATAATGCCAGCAGGATTCCTATGTTACAGTCTTAAGGCAGAATCCCTCTGTCTTAGAAAACCTTAATTTTTGCTTGTAAGTCATTCAACTGATTGGGTGAGGCCCACTCACATTATTATAACCTGCTTTATTTCATGTCAATAAATTTAAATGTGAATCACAGTTAAAAACCTTCATCGAAACATCTAGATTAGTGTTTGTTGAAACAACAGGCACCATAGCCTAGTGAAGCTGACACATAAACTTAATCATCACACTCAGAAATGATACATAGAAAAATTCGTGGGTCTACTGATGGTCCACCTGGATCTACTTGGTTCCTAAATACCAACATGATAAGGTTATCTTCCAAATGAACCCATTTTAATTAATATTGAACAAAATGATGCATCTAATTCAACATTAAATAACTAATGAATGAAAAATTAATATTACTTTTGTCAAAGGAATTAGAGGTAGTGCTGACAATCTTCAGTTATCTTAACTCTGTTCTTATTTCTAGGGAGAATCTTGTGCACATTGAAATAAACTATAGTGACTTAAACTATAAAATAACACAGCAGCAAAAAGCAGTGAGTGTGTCTGAGTTACTCGGTAAGTGTTATTTAATTCCTCCTCAATTTTCTTTTCTATTAGTTATTTTGCCTTTCATATTAAGAGTTTGGAGTGCCTGGGTAGTGCAAATGATTAATATCCTCTACTGCTCATTGGAAACTTGATGGTTCAAGTCCACCCAGAGGCATCTTTGATGAAAGCCCTGGTGATCTACTTGCAAAACATTACCCACTGAATATCCCATGTGACAATTTTATTACATAGGTAGGGTCATCATGAATTGGAATGGACTCAAAAGCATGGTGTTTTTGTTTTAGTATAATGTTTAGCTTATTAATGGAAGAAAAAAAATCAACAGTCATTTGCCTGCCATTTAAATCTGATAATGTGCTACTCCCTGGAGTAGTAGTAAAACTTCAAGGAGGCCACACATTAATTCCGACAAAGAAGAGGTTATCATCATCCTTACACTTAGTATCTTATTTCCCTTCATACTTACCCGTCATCAAGTGATTCCTGTAATGTGTTTCAGCAATCCTGCCTTTGTATAAGATGTCAACCACCTCTTACCTCCAAACACGGCTAAAAAGAAGAATCTGCACAGGCAAAGTTGAATATTTAGGGTACAGCCCTGTCTGTTCATTCTCCTTTTTTACTCAATTCTTAGCAAAGCTAATTTCTAATTTCTTAGATTTCATTGCAGATTAGAGGAAGTCAAAACATTATACTAGAGTCAAGCAAAATGATAGCAGTAAGACATGACAGCTGAAGCCCTGGATAGGGAAGAAATATATAGGTTCCCTAAAGCTCTAGGAAGGAAGGTTGGGCAAGAATCCTACTTCTGTAGTGATACTGCCTCGAAAACCCAAGGAGGGGTCGCTATGAGTCGGGGACGACTCGACGGCACATAACTAACAAAGCTCTAGGAGAAGCTTATATTTAATTACCAAACAACCAAAAACAGAATGAGGCTAAGAATGTTCTAGGGCACTGATAAAAAAAAAATTAATAATGTAATCTGTTTAAGAAGGTTGTTTTGTTTTAAGACATTTCACCAAAGTGAAATATTGCACATGGTTAAAAAGAAAATTTGGATGCTTGAAGTCACAAACTGCTTCTAAATATTATGTTGCTAAGACGCATCATCACTCAATAATGTTGCCTGAATGACACAATGTGGCTCTTCAGTCAGCATATTAATGTGAATTTTTAATTATGTAAAATTTTTTAAGATTTTGCCCAGACTTCATATCCTTCAAAGGCTTTGGATTATATTTTGGGAAACAGATGCTATGTTTGCTCTTTCTCTCCTTTTTGAAATGATTTGTTTCATAATTATATTACTATACCATTAATTGCTATTAATTTATAACATATATAACACATGTGGTCACCATGAGTCGAAATTGATTTGATGGCAACTGGTTTTTTATTTTTAGATTTTATAACAAGTTTTAAAATTATACAATTAACTCATCTTTACATAATACAGTTATGATTGCCTTATTAGCTTTAAAAAATTAACTTCTAATAATGTTTAATTTGCTTATTATATTAAAAAGCTATGATTTACTCTATTTGTTTACTGGTTTTATTACAGCAGATGTTGGCGGTCAGCTGGGTCTCTTTTGTGGGGCCAGTATGATTACAATTATAGAAATTATTGAATATATTTTCACCAATTTTTACTGGATATGCATTTTGTTTTTACTGAAGATACCAGAAATGACCAAGTGGGCTCCTCAACCTCAGAATCAGCTGGGGAACAAAGAAGGAATACAAGAATGCTAATGTTTACTTAGAATAAAAACTTTCACCTTTCTCTTCACAATACTTTCAGATTTATTTATCACTAATGCATTGTATATAACATTGTGTTGTATTATTTGATGGTTCAAGAAAAGCCATTGTATATACCTACTTATCCATATATATGGATATGAATATCTATATATAGGTATGTATGTATATTCAATTACATTTTAAAAAATAGGCACTGTCTATTTTGTTTCATCATTTTATCTCTAGCACTTAGAACACTAGAGATCGTGTGCTAGGAATTTCATAAACATTTTTAATGGATAAATTTTGTCTATTGGAAAAAGGCATTCTTTATAATCAAATGTGTGAATTAGACCTGATAAGTAAACTATACATAAGGAGACAAGAAGCTTCTTTATTCAAGACATAGTATGTATAATATTTGCTTTATTAAATTTCTAGGACTTTTAATTTTCACTCGTAGTTGACATATTTTTTCCTTTCATCTAGAGAGTTCTAATACACAACTCTCTTTTGGAGGGACAAGAGTCTATATCTAGTTCCTCTATAGGTGGATGGGAACTCTGGTAGTGTAATACCTAAGGCACTTGACTACTAACTAGAAGGCTGGCAGTTCAAACCCAACAGCCACTCCTTAGAAAGAAGGTTGGGCAATCTAATTCTGTAGTGATATCACCTCAGAATCCCAAGGAGGGGTCTTTATGAGTAAGGTCCAACCCGATGGCAAATAACAGCAACCATATATAGGTGGATACTTAAATCTATTTGAAAATACAGTAAAATCTGTAGTTTATTGTGAGTTAACAGTGTTTTATCATTTTTTCTAAACACTTATATGTAGTTGTTAAATACGTAGAAGAGATTGAAGAGTTGCAGGGTCCCCATTTTGTTGTTGTTGTTAGCTGTCATTGAGCTGGCCACTTGACTCAGGGTAATCTCATGCACAATGGGACCTTTCTGACCCAGAGGGTTTTCATTGGTTAATTTTTGGAATTAGATCACCAGGCCTTTCTTCCTAGTTTACCTTAGTCTGGAAGCCCTTATGAAATCTTTTCAGCTTCATAGCAACATGTAAGCCTTCACTGACAGTTGGTGGTTGTGCTTAAGGTACATTGCCCAGGAATCAAACCCAGAACTCTCTCATAGAAAGCAAGAATTCTACTCAGGAAAGCAGTCTACTTTCAGCCTCTTAGGATGATTCAATCAATGGTGAAATGCTCAGTAACCTCCTAAATCAGATTTAAGAAATAATAATGGAATCAAATGATTCTAATCCAAAGAATTCACTCTGCTTCATATTCTTCAGCCTCATTTCCTTCCTGGGGGGAAAAAAAAAAAAAAAAAAACTCATTGCTGTTGACTCAATTCTAACTCGTAGAAACCCCTCCTTGGGTTTCCAAGGCAGTATCTCTATGGAAGTAGATTGTCCAGTCTTCCTTCTGATGAGTGGCTGATGAGTTTGAACTGCTAGCCTTCTGGTTAGCAGTCAAATGTCTTAGGTGCATAAAGGTAACTCCCGGAAGATTTTAAAATTTTAAGTTAAGGCTTAATTATAGTCAAGTGTCCATGGGAATAGTACAATGAGATCTGTCAGTGCTTAGATTAGGAATATGTATAGCTCATGATTCAGAAATCATAATCATAAGTAGGAACCCAAGAGAAATTATACCATAGCAATGTGTCAAATGTCATGTCATTGTATGTGGAGCAGGAAATTGGAGGAAATCTATGCATCCAAAACTGGGAAAATAATAGTGTAAATGAGCTCTATGGAAGACTAAGTAGCAGAAAGAAGCCTTGGATTAAATGTACTCACAACAATAAATACTGATAAACATTGTTTTCATCTTTGAGTCTATTCCAACTCACACCAATGCTATAAAACAGAATACAGCTGCCCGATAAGGTTTTCAAGGCATAATATTTTCAGAAGCAGGCTGTGGCATCTTTCTCCTACAGAGCAGCTGGTAGGTTTGAACTGCCAACCTTCTGGTTAGCAGCCAAGTACTTAAATCTCTGCACCACCAGGGCTCCTTACAATATTGATAGGTCTTAAAATATAGTGCTGAGTTAAAATAAACAAGAAAAGCACAATTCTATAATACACTGTAATACGTTTATGAAAATTAACAATGTATGGACACAGAATATGCATAAAAGAATATATACATCTAACACATTGGACAATTTAGAGGAAATTGACAATCATCCTGAAATACATGAAATGCCTATATTAACTCAAGAAGAGATAATAGATCTCAGTAGACTTATAACAAGTGAAGAGATTGAATCTGTATTAAAAACCTCCAAACAAAGAAAAGTCCTGGACCAGATAGCTTCACTAGGGATGTCTACCAAACACTTACAGAAGAAATGACTACAATACTACTGAAATTTTTCCAAAAAAGTAGGAGGAAACATTTCATAACTTATTCCATGAG